TTATTTCCGCCGCCAAATCCCAGAACCGCCGACAATAAACAAAAGCGCCGACAGAAAACCAAAAGCGCCGCCAGAGACCTTAGACTCATATTGTTAAGACACGAAAACAAACAGTCTGGACAATAACAGCATGGAATCAGACCGAAATTCCGAAGCCCTGAAGCCCGGATTAGATTTAGGGTTGAGGTTGGGCGGTGCTCGAACAGTTGAGAGTGGCTAACGAGTCTTAAGGCTGGGGCTGGGCGATGTTCGAAGAATTCAGAATCGCTAAGGTAGGTCTAAACAGCATTTGTCTGTTGATGGCTGAAGCATCAGGACGATGGTTGTGAGTTCGCTGTTCCAACAACAACAAAACGGTTTGGGATTCGAGGCTAAAGCGGCTCGGGGTCGGAAGGCCGAGGTTTCGTTGTTGGGAGTCCAAAGTGTGAAGTTAATCCCGGAGCCACCAGAACCTTCGAGGTTTGAGAGGCCTTGTGGCTCAGAGCTGTTCTTCGAAGAACCCCGAAGCCCTGAACTTGAAGCACCTTTCAACCCGCAGAGCCCGGCAGTCCAAACCCCCTCGAAGATTAGCTGTGCGTCCTTCAGAGGACTTTGTAGCCCTGAAACCTAAACTCCCCTAAACCCCACTAAACCCCAACCCCTCGGCACTCCATCCTTCGTTTTGCCGGCGATTCGTCGACGACTGCCGACTGCTGGAGTGCTAGAGTCCTTGCTGCAAGCCTGGTGCTCCTTGGGCTTCCTATGCTTATACCCAGACCCTAAACCTGATTTAGATATACTTACAGGGAATGGTATACTTAGAGCCCGTGGAACACTTTAGAGCCGCAGCTTTCGTTGTGCTCGGTCAGCTCGGTGCCTCCTGATGAGAGCCGCTTTTTTGAGGAAGTGTCGTTGCAGCACCCTCTTGCTTATGGTTCTCACAGAAACTCGGACCGACAGAGCACAGACTCGACCGATAAGGTCCTCTCCTTGCTCACACCCCCACATGATGGGGTTCGGGATGAGCTTTGCATTGGCCAGCAGTGCCACTCGGATCTCATGTGCCACATGATGGATGCCGTGGAATTTGGGCTTCAAGGAGTAGAACGGCATATCCATCGCCAAAGCCTTTGCACCCAGATGCTTGTAGCCCGACAGCATGGACATCAACCTCAAATAGAGATTTTGGGCACATGCCCTGGGGAGCCACAGACCATGTTTGTACATCAAATTGAAGGCCTTCTGGGACTCCTGGATCGTCTTCTTCAGCACACGAAACAAAACAGCATGTGCAGCTGGCAAGTTGGATCTTCTCAGCAGGATCGCCACAAAGAAGCTGAGATATTCCAACAAGAGCATGGTATCCGAACCCTTGGAGTTCGTCCATGCGAAGTCGCTCAACCGTTTCAGATTGAATAACGACTTCGAAAAGTATCGCAAAGCTGCGGTTTTATGCGAGGCCAGCCGCCACAGTTTGAAGTGTGCAAAGGCTCGATTGAGCCTCGCCTTGATGTTTGTCTCATCGCTGCCATTGGGATCATCGTAATAGCCCAGGCGAGCCAATAAAACCAGGGAGCCACAAATGTCTCGCCCAAGCCCAACTTTGAAAAGATGAAACATGTCATATTTCAGGACTCTTTCCGGTGCATCGTTGTCATGAGGGACATTGCACATACCAGGTGTCGAGTCCCAAGGTCGCTGCTGGTAAAGTGTCGAAGCCCAGGATGGCTCGTGAGCAAGCTCATCAAAAGGAATCGCTGCACTCGTGCCCGCCATGCAATGTGCACAGACACCATTGTGGTTCACAGGACCCAAACGGGCATAGTATCGGTTCAGATAAGCAATCTTTTCAGCGATTTGCTTCATATCGCCTTTGATCCCAACCAAGCAAGCCGTGTAAATTTTCCCACCAACCTCCGGGCCTGAAGAAAAAAGCATCGTGAGCTCGTCAGCAACCTGCTGTGTCATCTGTTCCAAAACTTCTGGATGGTGTTTGTAGACCCAGTCAGGGAGGCCAAAAAGCACATGTCTGGTGAGGTAGGAGTGGCCTTTATTTGTATGGCTTTGCTTCAGGGCGGCCTGCTCCATCGGCGTGTACGGGCCGGCTGCCTGCTGGCCCGGAACAAATTGCTGCGGCGACTTCTCCACATCCTCTTTGCAAGTGCAAGTAAAGTCATCGGGCACATCCCACAAGCCGATCGGCGACTCGATGGAGGCCACTACGAAGTTGCCTCGCTTCGGGCCCTTGCCTTCGTCTGAATAAAAAGCCAGCGGAATCGTGGTCCCGAGGTCCAGCCCTCGATCGAACACCGGATGGGTGCTGTGAGTCTGTCTGTAAGCCATCCAGAAGGCCTCCAGCTGGCTTTCCAAAGACTCGTTGCCCCCAGCGAGCAATGAAGGATTCCGTTTCAAGAGGTACTGCATCCAGTCTTGCACTCGTATATAAGCAGTATCAACTTTCTCTCTGTCCTCCAGCACGAAAGCCTTTTCCATTATTGGCACAGGCAAAGATAAACCCCAGTGGTTAAAGAACCTGTGACAATCTCTCTCCTCGTTCGGTGCCTGCCGTCTTTTTTCCTCCGGCTGCTCCGGATGCAGCATCTGACTGATGCACCGTTTGGTGTCTTTCGCAGTGACCTCGGCACGTTAGGTTTGGCGGGACACTAAGCATTAGAAACATAGCCTTTGGGTTTTCTAGAGCGGGCTTAAGTATACCAAATAAACTTTCAGATGTCCAGTACAGAATATATTCTTGATACAAATAACGATTTCCCAAATGTCCAATTTGGAGACACCCTTATCGACTCGGAAATGAGCCTGGGCTTCTGATTGCACTTTGGGTTGGGGGCTCTTCGGAATTCCTGATACTGAATGAAGGCTTTGGAACTTCAGCTTCGAGGACGGATAGAAGTCGGCTGAACCCAGACCCTAAGCTCTACTTGCCCAAACCCTAAAAGATTAACGACTTGGGTTTTCTCGTTTCTTTTGAATGGGATTGCGGCGTGGATTTCGGGATTGCAGAACATCGGGAGCTTGTTGAAAGACACGATGCATTACTCTTATTACGAGAGCAGGGGCTCTAGGGTTTAAGGGTTTTTGGGTATGGGGTCTTCAAGGTTTGGTCACCCGGCCGATGCCCGACCTGCTTGAGTTTTGTATCAAACCCTCAGGGCTAGTCGTATAGTGATCACATTGCATCGCATAAACTTTAGAAAGGCTTGTTCCTCAATCCGAAAAAGTATAATATGTCGATCCTGGAAGATTCTGTTGCGATCATGAATGAAAGCTTGCCCCACTCATAAACCTTCAAGCTTACACGATTCGGTACCGTCAGCATGAAACCTTACCCTTGGACTATGAGTCTCGCCTTTCCCCCAACCATAAAGCTCCGAAGCTGCAGCCCTAAAGGTACATTGGCCTCAGCACCGAATCGTAAGCTCCAGACCGTGAGCCCTTATAAATCCTTGGGTGGCAAAAAGAACCCTAAGCCTTCCACCATAAGTCCCTAGGCCATAAACCGAACCTAAACTCCAACAGAATCCGAGGATCCGGACTCCCTCGCCTAGCATCTCGGCATACTGGGAAGCTCGGCCGAAATCGACCGGCTCCTCGTCGGAGCCTGGCATGCGAGGGTAGGGTTGTAGGGTTGCGAACTTTAGGGGCTTTGTTCGGGATGTAGTTGTAGGCTAGAGCTTCCTAAGTATGGCTTGGGGGGTTGAAGGTTGTTCGGGATGTAGTTGTAGGCTGGACCTCATAAGTATGGCATGGGGGGGTCCTCCGGCGCTTCAGGTCGCTTCGCACAATGGTTTAGGGAATAGTGGTAAGGGTTTCGGGCGAGGGCTCGATTTGGGTTTCCGTTTGGGGCATTAGCCTAAGCTTCCAGGAGAGGGTTGAACATTTTAGAGCCCGAATCCGGAATAGAGATAATTACTCAAGTCACTTCAAGTCCAAGCCCAAGATCTTAGCTAGAAACTAACCCGCCAACCTATCGACGAATCTACCTACTTCCCTACCTACCCATACCTGCCCTGCCTTGCCCAACCTATCGCCCACCTATCTACCTAAATACTTACACACACACACAGACTCACTTACTTTTGCAGCGGCAACCCAGCAACGATCTGGCGAGACACAGTGTCCAAAACACTGTTTGAATCTCATGAATCAGCTCAGCGGTGCCTGCAACGAGCTGTCCTATCACAACAGTATTATACCGACTAGAGTAGTAACCCTTGGCACTGCCTGCGGAGCTGAACTCTGCTAGCACTTACACGAGGCGTGGCTACTTCTTGGCTCGCTTGCTGGGCTTTTCCTCGTCTTCCTCATCATCAGTCGCCTTCTTCCTAGGGGCCACCTTTCCTTTGGCATGCGGCTTGGCTTTGGCCTTTGTTTTCGGATCGGGCTTCTCGGGTACCTTCGTCGGCATCCTGGGTGCAGAACGTACATGGATGATGAGTTGGACAGAAACCGCTTGGAAAGCAGCAAATAGTCTTCACAACACAATACAAAGACAAGAAACTTCATGCTCTTCGATCGCTCAGAAATCATCTCTGCCTCCATGGCCCTGGGTATTCTTGACTTGCGAGATTTGAATGGAAGGGTATCAGGCGGCAGGACTACGGTTTAGGGTTTAGGGGTTTAGGGTTTAGACACAACAAACACTCAGGTTGAAGATCAGTGGTATGCACAGATGCCAAGCCAAGGTGCTTCGTCTTCGCTTCCTGGAAGAGCATGCGAAGCCTCTTCTGGTCCCTTGTCAGGATTCAGGGGCTGAAGGGGCTTCAGGCTTACAATCCTACTCAACAAGAGCGAGGTACTGGACTAGGAAATTCAAGACAAGCTTCTCCTTCGTGAAGCCAGCAGCAATCCCACGACTATAGATAGTCGTAATTCTGTCCTCCAAATCACCCACTGCGTCGATGACCATCTTGAGGCTGTCTCGAAACCTTGCTTTCTGAGTTACTTGGGATTTGAAGCACACAGTGCATCGACTAGGCCCAAGCACATTTACAAATAATTGTTTAGATGAGGATCTTGAGTTGGGTCGTGGTGAGGGAGATGCTTGCATCCGACTCCATCTTCGCCAGGAGAAGCTGGAGTTTGTTCGCCCTCTTCTGGAGGCAGCCGGTCACCAGCATACTGGCATCTTGCGGTTTCTTGGGAATCTCCGGATAGGCGATCCTTTTGAGGATCCGGGCAGCCTCTTCCCCATCATCACTGGAGTCACTCTCCTCCTCGTCATCACCTGCCGGCTGCATTTGCGGATTTGTATAGGTATCCTATATCTTTGGATTTCGGGCTTCGAATCTAAGCCTTTGGGGAATAAGCTGTTGGGGGATTAGGCTTTAGTTTTCCAGGGGTTGAAGGTCCCAGGGATTGAGGATTCTACTTGTAGGGATCTCGGGCCAAGGGTCGACGACCATATATCACCGTGCGTGGGTCGTGGGTCGGGCGGTTTGCAGCTAGGCTATATCGTAGGTTTAACGGGTTTGGGTAATGGAGCGACAAGTCTGCTGATGCTCAGCAAGGATTGGAGTCCTGGCCTTTGGGTTGTTTAAGGTTTGGTTCAATGACTACAGGGTCTAGTGCTGGGGATGACTATTGGCCATAGAATCTAGGAATGGGGATCTCGATCGGCACCCGTAGATATTGAGCTTCCGAATGTGGTGTTCCGAGTTTCTTCTTTAGACTTGAGGGATCGGGATCTTAAGTTTAAGGTTTAGGCAAGTTAGACATGTTGCTTGATGCTTGGCCTCGACACTTCTTTCCAAAGACATAACACAGGTATATCCTGAATCTGACACCTTAAACCCAGGCTTTAATCCCTAACTTAGCCAGGCCCCCGATTGGCTTTAGTGGGATCACGACAGCCTCCGACCAGCCCTCACGAACCCTACTTTGGCGAATTCGCAAACACAAGCCCTGACCCCTCCTGAACCCCAGTATATACTAAACAAGACTATTTAATATCCTGAACCCCAGTATATACTAAACAAGACTATTTAATACCGAGCCGAAGACAGGAAAGCAAAAAGCCCCGGAACCTGAAGAACAAGGCACTATTTAATAGCACCACGAACAATAGCCCGATATCGACACCCAGGTACCTTCCCCTTGCTTCTTATCTCCGTCTCCCTCAAGCTCGAAAGGGAAGTTCTCCATTGCTTCATCAGGATCCTGCATGGGCTCCTGGTCGGCACCCTCCAGGAGCTCGGTCACGGTGTGCCGCTTCGTCTTCCTGAGGTAGATGGAAAGGGTAGGGTTTCAAGGTTAGGCTGTAGCGATCAAAGTATACGTGTAACGAATATAATGTTTAGCCACGGCACTTGTTGGATCCTCTCACTCGCACAGCAACCCAGTACATCCACTCGTCACAGTACTCGGATTTCCTGTGCAAGAGACTAGCATCAGGCACAGAATCACTAGCAAAACATTCGTATGCAAACGGAAGACAACTGTTGCATCTCCTCTTGTACCCCTGCCGGCGCTCGCAGCTTCTCTTGGCACCCTTGATCTTCTTCCTCAGCAAAGCACTGAGAAGAACAGCACTGCTAGTCTGCAAGGACCGTGAAGGAGCCACAGGAGAGTGTAGATAGTCATGCAACAGGAGCTCATGAAGCTGGTTTGTTTTAGCGAGGCACTCGCTCCATCCTTTCTCTTCCATCTCCGCCTCTGTGAGGAATTCGAATTCCGTTTCCACAGATTTCTCATTGATCTCTTCGTATGGCTGGTTGACTTTCTTCGTGAAAATCACCTGGCTTCCAAGCTACACATTAAATAAAATTCACACACACTCCCCCTCACCATGGCACTCTTACCGTTTGCAAGCGTGACGGCGAAGCGGGGTCGCCACCACATTTCTCGAAGGCACGGTACACATCATCCCGGGATTCCAGATTCTTGTGGGTCTGGATGATCTCGAGCGGGACTTTGTAGGTCCCATCCGCTTTGGGTGCACATATGCGTGCCAGCCTCTTCATCAAAGTGGCCTTGCTGATGGGAGGAGGGGGTGGGTGATCTTCCACCGGGGCCACGTACTCATCCTCCTCTGGTTCGTTCTTGGTTGCTTTCGGATCTTTGGTGTCCTTGTTTGTGGGCCGGGTGTTCGTGCCTGGCTTCTCCGGCTGGCTCGTCTTGGCCACGGGGGGTGCTTTCGACGTGTCTGGCTTCTCGGGCTGGCTGGTCTTGGCCACGGGGGGTGCTTTCGACGTGTCTGGCTTCTCGGGCTGGCTGGTCTTGGCCACGGCGGGTGCTTCTGACGTGTCTGGCTTCTCGGGCTGGCTGGTCTCCACGGCGGGTGCTTCTGACTTGCTTTGGGATCCTAGGGCGGCTTGCTCTACGGCTTCGGGTTGGCTGGCTCCGGGCTCGGAACTCGTATTCTTCTTTTCAGGCGTGGGTTGGCTGGGTGCGGGGTTGGAGTTCGTCCCCTCCCCCGGCGTGGGCTCGGACCTCTCGCTCTGGGGTGTCCCTTTACCAAGGCTTTCTGACAAGGCAGGGACAGGCGAAGCAGGCAGCTGCGTGTCAGCTTCCTTTTGCGTAGCAGGCACTTCCAGCTCTGACTGGGACTCTGGCATCAGGTCCTGTTGGGATCCCGTTTGGGAGGAATGCCAGGAGGTCGCACGAAGAGGCTTCTCCTGAAGGAGCGAAACATGCATCAGCAGCACCGAAAGCCTTAATCACTGCGGCAGGATGTGGGGCTGACTGCAACCGGGCTCCTGCTTGCCCGCGATGCCAAGGGCCTGCATCCTGGCCTGCAAGCGAAGTGGTTTTAGGTTCGGGGTTTTCGGGTGAGGGTTTTGGGTGAGAGTTACAAATCTCGTGTAATTGGGCCAGGGTACCATCAAAGCCGCCTTCTGAGCAGCCAAAGCCTGAAGCTCTGGATCAGCTTCCATTGCCCCTATTATCACCAGCGGAAAGCCGGATCTAGAGCCCAAAACTGCTGTGTATTGCCGGTCGAGTCGGGGTTTAGGGGTTAGGTTTAGGGCTGCTGGGGGCCTCCCGGGCAATCCCGCCGCCAACCCGGGCATTCCCGCAGCAATCCCGGGCATTCCCGCCGCCACTCCTGGACCCCCAAACCCCCCCAAAACCACCAAAACCGCCCAAAACCCTCTGAAAACCACCCAAAACACCGAAAGCCAAGCAGAACTCCTAAAATCAGAGCTAAACTCCGAAAATCCCTGCCCAAGCTGCTGAATTGGCCTGAAGAGCCACCGAAATCGTGGCAAAACACACACACACACACATATCTCTCTCTCTCTCTCTCTCTCTCTCTCGCCTTCCCTTTCCCTTATCCTCTATCCCTGCCTCTCCTTGCCTCAGCCTCACACGAACCCTGCACCAGTGTCTTAGCTCTCCTTTTCATACCCCTGCCGACTGTGCTTCAGTCCATCTCGTCCAGGAACTTTCGCCCTGCAAACTCGGCCCTTGCGAGGCATGTCGTTTTGTGTTGCCCAGGACAAAGACGACAGACAGAGCAGCAGTGCAGGTGCGGAGGCAAAACCTTGCGATCACAGTTCGGGCAGTCTCCAATGGGCTCGCGAGCAACGGCTTCGGGGTTCAATCTGGAACACTTCTTCGAATGTCGCCTATTCTTGCGACAACCACGGCAGCAGAAAAGATTCCCTTCGAAGGCAAAACGTACACAACCTTCTGCCACACAGGACTGCCGACTTGGGTTCCCATCGGACGAAGCCATCGTTACCCACAGCCTATAGTTTCTCTAGATATTCCTGAATTATGAGCAGACCTGCAAAGTGCCATATATATCATATATGCGACCTCACCTGGTCCTAAACTTAAGCGATTATTTCTGCATCATCCAAAACTACGAGGCAGCACTGCCGGCACGGTGTGGCGGCTTCAGAGCCCGACTTGCAAGCTCAAGCGAGCACTGGATCTCGTCACTTACGGTTGTGTGTCCCGGGATCTACTAATAGTCAAAGGGGCTGGGAGGTTTAGGTGCTTGCGGTTTTAAAGGCTTGTAGAGTTTGTGGTAAAGGGGACTGGAGGTTTATAGACTTAGGGTTTTAGAGGCTTTGCGGATATATTGAGGTTATGGCTGGAGGTCTAGAGGTTTAGGGTCTTAGAGGCTTGGGATCTTATGGTTACGGGCTGGGAGGCTTAGGATTGTTCGGGAATTTTTGGGTCACACAACTTCAATATCTTGACTCCTGTCAGCAAACGATGTAATTGCGGTTCAGGGTGCAGGGTCGGACTTCGTAGGTTCGGTTACAGAACAGGCTTTCTTGTGTGGAGGAACAAGAAGATGATGCTGTTGTCGAGCGCAACCTATAACCTTAACGGCCCTATACTTAGAGGATCATGGGACTTAGTAAGTAAGGTTACAAGTAGCTTATAATTAGGATAACCCCACTTAGGGGACTTATAACCCCAATTATAACCTACTTACTAAGTCCCATGATCCTCTAAGTACCGTATGTAATAAAGCCCTGAGCCCCAGAATCTTCCAGCACCCATGAGCCCAACAATCCACATAAGCCACCGATTCCAATGAATGACCCAACTAAAGCCTGAAGACTCAAGGTAACCCCGAAAAAAACCTTCAAGACTGAAGCTAAACCCTGAAAATTGCAAGCGACCGAAAGCGTGAGACGGGAGCTCGGACCCCAAAGCCGTATCTAAACCGTAGCCAAGGATGATGAATCCGCCCTCAGCGTGATCCCTGTTTGGCTTGGATGCTTCTCAAAAAGAGAAACTTGCCAGGCAAGGGATCATTGGTTTCGGGTTGGGGTGTCTTCTGGCACTACTTCTAGGATACAGTATAAGGGCACTGGACTGCGAGATGGAGTTCTCCAGGGAGGTTCATAGTTTTCGGATTGGCTAGCTTATGCTACTGATACTAGTATATGATAAAAGCACTTCTGCTAGAATTACACACAGAACTGCATAGCCCCAGCGGGAACCCCTGCAACCCAAGAGAAAAGTTGGGGCCTCAGAAAGCCAAGCTCCCAAACATTGACACGTGATAACCTGAAAAACCCTTTTAAGGAAAAAACCCTGATACTTCAGGCCCTTCGGAGATCCCAAAGAGAAACTAGCAACAAATATATAATCCTACCAAACCCTTCGGGCTGTAGAACCAACAAAGGGGATCAAGATGGTTGCGGCTGAGGTATGGAGTTCAGGGTGGTCCTAGTGCTAAAGTTAAACCCGTACCCTCAGCCCGCACCCAAAACATGGCAGCTCAGCTCGAGGTGCCACCGTCCAAGCCGTGCTGCCGGAAAGCCGCACAAAACGGCATCGCGGTACCTGCGATTTCGGGCTTCGTGAAGGCGACTGGTCGGGAATCTCTGCAGCTGTGCAATCGCTGCATGACTTCACTCGCTCTTTTCTTTCTTGTGTTTCGGGCATGGGAGCTTGATTTGCACTGCTTCGCCACAGCCATGAGTCATACTTCCTTTAAGAGGCAGTGTGTGGCATCCCAAAGAAGTGCTACCTATATGCGGTCACGATTGCAGACACAACCGGTATCAGTTCAGGACCCTGTACTTTGTGGTAGGATGTGAGCTCACACTCGCCTCTGGAAAGCAGACACCCATCATGGGTTTCTAGAGAGAGCAGCACCTAGAAGCTTCATAAGAAGAGGCCCAAGTCCTTGGCGTGAACTCAGGATGGTCGCAAAAAGCTGGCCGGTCATCGCATCGCTTCATTTCAGCTGACCTCGGATAAGTGTCTCGTTGGCTGGCACTACTCGGTATAAGGTTTTAAGGCTTCAGGACTTCTAGTTGAGGGTTTAAGGTTCAGGTGGTCAAGGGCTTTAGTTTCAGGGTGTAGCGTAGATTTGGCAAAGGTTGCTTGTACCATCGGGGCACCCTGAACTTTGTCCATCTTCAACCACTTGGCAGCAAACTTCTTAGCCGCCTGGAACAGCTCAGTATCGTCCTTCACTTCGAGCAGCACGGGCCGGCAATCGGCCCAGAAAAGGCCCTGCGAACAAAGCAAGGACTAGATTGGCTCTTTCGAAATATGTTGGAGCTACGATTAGAATATAATATATGTTGAACAAACAACCAATCCTCCATCTTCGTGGTGTAGCGAAATTTGTCCCGAAGAACACAATCGAATGCATCCCGGATAGCCGTCCAAATGGCCACTGTTCTTGCACCCTTTCCCGGATTTCTCGAAGCAAACGTGCCCTTCTTCTGCGTGGCAGCCGTGTCTTCGTCGTTCTCCTTCTCCTCGGCGTCTGGCTTCTTGCTCTTCTTCTTCGGCGGAGTCGTGTCTTCGTCGTCAACTTTCTTCTTCTTGCTCTTCTTCGTGGCAGCCGTGTCTTCGTCGTTCTCCTTGTCCTCGTGGTCCTTCTTCTTGTTGCCATTCTTCTTCGGCGGCGTCTTGTCTTCGTCGTTCTCCTTGTCCTGGCGGTCCTTCTTCTTGTCCTTCTTGGGCGGGGCCGTGTCTTCGTCGTTCTCCTTGTCCTGGCGGTCCTTCTTCTTGTCCTTCTTCTTGGGCGGGGCCGTGTCTTCGTCGTTCTCCTTGTCGTCGCGGTCCTTCTTCTTGTCCTTCTTTTTGGGCGGGGCCGTGTCTTCGTCGTTCTCCTTGTCCTCGGGGTCCTTCTTCTTGCCCTTCTTCTTCGGCGGCGTCTTGTCTTCGTCGTTCTCGTCCTCCGGCTCGGGGTCCTTCTTCTTGTTGCCATTCTTCTTCGGCGGCGTCTTGTCTTCGTCGTTCTCCTTCTTCGGCTCGGGGTCCTTCTTCTTGCCCTTCTTCTGCGGCGGCGTCTTGTCTTCGTCGTTCTCCTTGTCCTCGGGGTCCTTCTTCTTGCCCTTCTTCTGCGGCGGCGGCGTCTTGTCTTCGTCGTTCTCGTCCTCCGATTCGGGGTCCTTCTTTTTGCCCTTCTTCTTCGGCAGCGTCTTGGCTTCGTCGTTCTCCTTCTCCTGGTTCTTCTTGCCCGTCTTCTTCGCCGTGTCCTTGTCGGTCTTCGTCGACTTGTTCCCGGATCCCTTCGGCCTTCCAGGCTTGCCCTTGGCCATGGCCGGTTTTTTTTTGATCGGCACGTCGTCGTCATCGTCGTCTTCGTCCTCGGCCTCGCACTGCTTTGCCTTCTCCCTTGCAGTCATCTGCTCGCGTCTGCTGACTTTTGCCTCAGGACTACCACCCGAATGCCTAACCTAATGGACTTTAGTAGATGATAGTTATAGTTTTTAGTTATTAGTTCAAAGCATACTCCCAACAGCAGTCCCGACATAGAACCGCCCCAATACTAAAAACCAAAGCCTCGGGAGACTACTTGACCCCATGGTATCTCTAGAGCCACCGAAACACTACAGCCCAAAGCCTGGGACCCACCCAAACATAAACTTGAGACCCCATCCCTAAAGCCCCGGAAGCCGATACGAAAAGCTAACCCAGAGGCCGATATTCTGGTATCTCGTCATACGTTAGGAATCCCACTGAAATCTTCTTATCCTGGAACCCATTTAAAGACGAAGCCTTCAAATCATAAAAAAAGCCGATACTCAACAGGATTGCCCACCTCGCATGCTAGAAGCTCAGGACTGTCAGCTTCGCCGTCTTTGACAGAAGAAACCTGCAAAGGGTGGCAGCTCAGCTCGGCTGGCAAACTTCAGATTTCAGGGCTAGGCTGTGCGGGGATTTCTTTGATGGGGCCTCCAGTGCATCGGGCAGCGGCTTTGGGGTGATTGCTGGGTCCTCGACATCCTCCATTGTTAAAGCCTGCGAAGCCTCTGCTTGGGCCTCAACTGCTGGGGCCTGCGAAGCAATTTTAGCCCGGGCAGGTGTAGCAACTGGATTTGGAGCCACTGTCGATTGTTTCGTAGCTCCTGCTGCCAAGTCATTCTCAAAGAGGGACAGGTCGCTAGCACCATCCTGTCTTGCAAGAGTCGTGGTGTCTGGCTCGTTGGGTGTTGCATCGGGCTCCGGGGGCGGCATAGCATCTTCACCGAAAAGATCCCAAAGGCTCGTCTTCTGACTGTCAATGTGCTCCGAACCTGGGATGTGATGGATTGGGTATCATAATATATAGGGGGCTATCGAGTTCTCTCTTCAGGGATGAGAGGTTCGGGTTCGGGGATCAGGTACCAAAGTTCTTGGTCATATGGCTTGGGTTCATAACTGCGAGAATCAATTATCTTGCTGAGGTTCCACCCCACTTCTGGGCAGCCTGCTGGCCACTCAAAGCTGCCCGTCGATGGGCAATTCGCTGCCTTGGCTGCTTAGCTTCATGCTGTGCAAGAAAGTACCTCGAAACACTACGGCATCACACCATATCTTACTTGCAAAGAACATGAAGCAAGATGCTCGATCTCAGCAAGTTGTCGCACAAGATCAACATCATTAGCAGCCGAACACATTGTCAGGGATTTGGCTTCGTAGGGGATCGGGATTCCTGCTTCCTCGCTCGGCTCATATGCAACCGTGCCCACATAGGCCGAAGGCGGCGGAGGTGACCCGGCCTCCAAACCCATTGCTTCGGCTAAGTAGGGGTCAACCAGTTGGAAACGATCATCATCGTCCTCCGGCTCCGTTAAGGTTGTCTCGTCCTCACCTTCCTCTTCCTCCTGCTCTTCCTGTTCCTCCTGCTCATCATCATCATCTTCTTCATCACCCGAAGCCAAGGTCCGGCGTGAGCGAACCTTCGGCGCCCAATGCTTCTCCAGCTCCTGGTACAAAGCAGCGAGAGTGGCATCCTCGGATTAGGAGACTTGGCATGGAAGCTTGATGGCAGCTCTACAAGAAAGACCATCTTCGTAACCCTAAACCCTAAAGAGATCCTGAATACCGAAGAATTAAGACCAGAAACCTTCTTGCGAGAGCCATCGTTTCGTCGGTTCATGTAGCTCAGAAACATCTTGAGGCTGTGGGCCTCGCAATGAACCAATCCCCTCCGAGGGGTGATACTGATGTCGTCGAAGAACTTTGCCACCTGGGGAATTAAGGTTTCGGGTGCTTTTCCAGGTTCAGGATTCAAGGTTTAGGGCTTAGGGGTGTTTAGGGTAACAATGCAGATAACGTAAACCTACCCCCGAAGCCCTAAGCCACCTGGTCCTTCAATGCAGCAACGGGAACGGTCTTAGTCGGAGCATCCGAGGGAACTCGAGGGCAATAGAGTCGCACCACAGCTAAGACCACCCTCCAATTGCACTTGAGGCTTGCCTTGTTAATGAGGCCGGTCTTTGATGGATTGGGCCAGAACAACAGGCTCTTTCGCTTGCGAGCACCTTTCCGAACAACCGGGTCCTCCTCCCAGGCCTCCCACAATCCTTGGATCTCTGGGACCGCCCTCTTGGAATTTTTCTTTTTCGGGGTCACAATCACAGGCACCACGGCATCGGGTTCCGCCATCTCGAAGTTTCGGAGTTGCTCTATTGACAAATCTCAGGGTCTAGCGAAGCGATATATGTTGAACAGTGAAATCGTGAAATGTGCAGTGCGACCTCGCTGGTCAAGCTGCTATGATCAGGCCAGAAAGCTGCACGAGACATGCGTGCCAGCTCACAAACATCATACACTTTCGGACTGATGCAAAGTGCAGCGGAAGGGTGGGCACTCGAAGGGCAACACGTCGCCCGGCCTGGCAGCAGTCAGTTTTTGATCGGATCTCACCATGAAGCGAACTGGCCTGCTGCACTCCAGATTTCGTGAAATGCCTGCGAGAAGTTTTTCACGACAATTAGCGACCAGCTTTAAACAAGCCAGGATCGCCCAATGAGGAAGCCAAAGAAGCCGTCCCCAAGCCTGTGAATGGATCTCAACAAGAAATCAGATTGATTGAGAGCATGCGAGCCTCCGGAAACACATAGGCTCCTTCCACTCAGTACCTCACTCCAAAGAAATTGTGGCAGCATACTTCGGCTATGAGAAGTAGGGCACCGGTAGGGCACCGACACATCGCTGCTCAGCAAAGCCTGGCACCAAACAACTCCAAAGAGATCTTAATTATACCTGAAGCGAACCTAGGGCATACGAAGAAGATGAAATCCACCAGGACGACGAGCTCCATGAAGACCTGGGCCAGAGGGCGACAGAGGGAAAGGGTGAGATACGAGATGCAATACCAGAAATCTCACTGTAGGACGGGTGCCCATGAAATCGGGTGACTGCCTGCGTAATCAGTTATGAAGGGAACAATCTGCGAAGACTATCGGCCCACATGATACAACTGATTCCCCTTCAAAGCATTGGTGGCTCTTTGCGGCCCGGCTGTGCGATCTCAGGTCTCGCCTTCTATGCTTCCTACTGCACAGAAGATCCGGATCCAGGCTGCTGCTTCTTGCGCTCGTTCTGCTTCTCGGGAGTCTCAGGCAATTCGAAGAGTCCTGGGTATGAGGTTGACCATAGAAACTTCGAAATTCCCCGAAATCGTCATATCACAAGACAATGCAAGCGAAGATTCGTAAAGCTTCTGATGCCTCCCAATATTTCTTTGCAAGCTCTCTGACCGATCCGCCCTTTTTGTAGTTCTCCACCAACACACTAATCTCCTCATGGGTCAGGACGTCCTTAGGTATCTTCTTATATGCCATC